TTTAAAGTTCAAAGAGGTTCTAGTTTTTTCTTTTTTTCTGTAACACTCAGAAAATGTAAAAAAAAAAAAAGGAGGGAAAGAAAAGTTGTGATAAATCACAGATGAGGTTATAATACATGTGTCAGCGCCTGATCACCTCTCTGATGACTTCAAACAGTTCAGGACCTCTTAATTAGAATCTACGAATCGATGGGATAAAAAAAAACCCTGCTCAGCCCAAAAATATAAAATTTAAAAATTAAATGATAACCAGGAAAACCAAAGAAAACTCCTTCCTAATCAGCCTCTATAGCAGCAGTAACCAAGTAAAGACCAGCGGGGTCGAAAAAAGAAAATCAACCAGTAAAGGTTTGGAGACATTTTTAATTATAATCCGTTAATATAAACAGAATTTAACACTAAATAAAATGAGGTTTTTATGCATCTTATACTTTAAATTTTAAATAAAAAAAATACAAAAATAAATAAAATCTTCTTAAAATGTAAACATTTAAATATTAAAATGGAAAAATGTTTGCATTTTAATATCTAAAGTGTTTTTTAAAGTAGAGAACAACAATTGTTCAGTTTGGTTTATAGATAATTTCCTGATTCCCATATTTTCTCAAACCCCTGAACTGATGGTTTGTTCTTTTCTTTCTTTTTTCTGTCTTAATGTTGGCAGTGGGATTTAGGCTGCCCTGCAAGGCTTTAAACCTGGGTTTAACCGGAGACTAAGCCATTCTCAAGCACATATCAAGGAGCTCATTTTGAGCCTGGATCCAGATTTATTGTTGATTCTGTTCATGGTGGAGAATCCTGCTTCACAGCAGCAGGTTGAGCCAAACATCCTCTAAATGTGCAGGGTCATCTTTGAGCACGCCGTTTCACTTTTCTTTCACCAGTTCACCGCAGTTCTTCCAGCAGTCCACACTTTCTCTGCTCTCTTTTTCTCATGGTCTTCTCCTTCTTTCCCATCGCCCGGCTTGCCACAGGTTTGCCTGCTGGGTCTAAAAGTAGCAGCAGCAAGAATCTATCAAAAATGAACAATATTTCTAAAGAAAAAACGTGACGACCCCATCAGTTACGCCCATAGTTTGTTTTTTCTTTGATCACGTTTCCCTTCTGCTCTTCGAAGGTGAAAAGTTTTAGCATTCAGGATCATCTGTGGCCATTTGCTGCAGAAACTCTACTTTAATCAGGCTGAAAATTAAAATGGAGGAACTATTTCATTTCAAATAGACTCAACATTACTGTTGATTGATTGATCGACTTTATTGATCTCATAGTAGAGAAATTTACTTATTACATCAGCTCGAATTGTCAGAGAAGAAAAATGAGCCAAATGGAGAAAAAGGTGCATGGATGTATGCAGCCAAACAATTGATCCTGATATTATGATGATTTCATATAGGGATGCACGATATAATCGGCCCCCTATCGGTATCGGCCTTAAAACTGAATATCGGACATCGGCCCCCCCACCGATATTTAACCCGATATTTGATCAGCTTCTGAGTTTCTAAAGTCTAAAAAAATAAATAAAATACTACTTCTTCTTCTTCCTCAAAAACTTCTTTTTTACAGACTTAAAAACTTCTAAAGACGAGGGAAAAAATATTGATACATTAAAATATCCCAATATCTTCATATGCTGATATATTGCCATTTAAAAACACCATATCAATCTCTTTTACTAATGAAATATTGCTATATGTCATCGTTATGCTACGAAATCCCCCGAAAATTCACCAAATGTTGCCATATTTTTATATGTCGATATATTGACGCGGTATCGATCTGTTTTACTAACAAAATCTCACAAGAATTTGTAAAATATCACGAGAGTTTGTAACAGAACGATGAAATTTCACGAGATTTTGAAAGTAAAATAGATCGATACCGCGTTTTTAAAAATCTATTTGATATCAGCATATGAAAATATATTTGAGTTTATTATTTTTCAAAGTGTCAGAAATGGATAACAAAACTGCTATTTTCAATGACTACTTATTTTTGTCCAGCTTTAACATCGGTATCGATATCGGTTATCGGCTACATGAGTTTTAAAATATCGGCATATCGGATATCGGCCAAAATCCCAATATCGTGCATCACTAATTTCATATTTTGCAGACGTTCCCTGGATGGTTATGCATCGCAGAGGCACAGATAACCATGTGTGAACCGTCTGACCAGTAAATGACAGCGAGAAAATGAGTTTATAGGAGGCTGACAGAAAGCCAGAGAACTTTAAGAAAACTTACAAACATTTATAAAGAAATCAAGGTTACTACTAAACAGCTCAGAGATATTAAACATTAAAAATGATCAAATTAAAGAAGTGAAAGCAATAAAAGCAGCTGAAAGATGCACACAATTATTATAATTATTGATAACTTTTAAAAAATGTTGAAAAAATGTCATACTAAATGTTTCATTTAAAAAGATTTAAGCTGATTAAAAAAAAAAAAGTTGTACTAGTATGAATGTTCCTCCAGGATGTCGCTGCTTTTCTTCCAGTCGCTTGATTTATATTAAAGTTTCTGCCTCCAAAAAATTCCCTAAATATATAAAGAAGTAATAAAAAAAACTCATAATGTTTGTTAATGTTTCTAAGAACATCGAACCACCAGATAAAATCAACTCATAAATACAAAAGATAACTAAAATTATACATTAGTTTTTAACTTTAAAGTAACAATTCTGCTAGAAGTTTTGACTTTATAAAAGAAATAACTTAAAACTGGTTAAAACTGGTTGTTTAAGTGGAGTTACATGATAAAGTGTAACAGGAAAAGACGTAATTTTCAGGATTCTTTAAAAATAAAAGCATTGTTATCCTCAAATCTATTATTATGTGAGTTTATGTTAGCATGAGCTCTGGTTTTATTGGAAGTTTTTATAAGGATAAAAAAAAAAAAGTCTGGAATTAGTTAAATTTTTTTTTAATCTGTAAAAGTTAGAAAATGAGAAAACGAGACGTGATGGAAGAAATGTTTGAGTTTCTGTGGTTTTTAAAACGAGGTTCAGACGCCAAACAAAATACTGAAAACCTTTTCTTAGTCTTTTTTCATGGTTTGAGAAATTTAAGTGTTTACTTTTTCTTTTTTTTTTATAACAGATTCTTGCATGTTTAGATGCAAAAAGTCGGGAAACTAAACTTGTATAATTTAAGAATCACTGGAAAATGATCCGCCTCTAAAAATATCTAAAACTGGAGGTTGAAATTGGTAATGAGTTTTTGTAACCATATTTTAAATGTTTATTTAATTATTTAGGGTTAAGTTAAGTATTTATTTTTCTCAGAAATAAATGTTTTCTTTATTTTTTTTTTTGCTAAACACCATGCAATGCTGCAGCTGTTTTCATAACTGACCTCGGAGTTTTTTTTACTTCTCTTTCCAATAAAACATTTTGGTGACTTTTCTCTCTTTCCCTAACATACGAAGCGGCCATCGTTTGATCCAGTGTTTGTTTAAAAGCGGCATTTAGTTTAGAGATCTGAGCCTGCAGCTTTTAGAGTGCAGGATGTAGATCATTCAGCCGGCTACGAGTGTTCGCTCGCATTAATGTCGCACGTAAATTTAAAATGTCCTGTTCATCCACGGCACTTAGCGGCCCCGGCCTCTCCTGTATATTTCAGTGTCCGCCTCGCTCAGCTGTGTTGAGTCTACATCAGGGTTTTGATGGGGGGGGGGTGATTGCACCAAAGAGCTCCTGACAAGATGTTATCACAGTGAGCCTCACAAATTATCACGCACTGCGGCCATGCTAGCAAAATGTTGTGCTTCCCGTCGTAATTTAGAGGCCGAGCGCCATCTGATAGCGTAACACAATATTAGTGCTCTTCATTATTTGGCTTTCTTCAGTGTCTCTGAAGTAAAAAAGCTGAAATCCCTGAGGGGGAGAACAGAATGTCAGCATTAATAACACTTAGGAATGGCAGAACATGAATCAACTAGATGAGGAGCTTTTTTTCTAGCTGCAGAGCCGCATTTCAGCAGCTTGATACATGAGTTTATGGCAAGTAATCGCATGTAGAAACATTGATTGAGGCGTGCTGGTTAGTATTCCCGTGTTTGTCGGGAATTGTTTGGACCCAGATTCCCTCCCTTCCTTCTTCTGCTTCTCTTTGTGCCGTCATTAGATAAGAATCCTCTCTAAGACCATGTCATCATAACGAGGGTGCCATCTGAAGCAATCACCATGGGAGATGGTTATTGAGTTAAGAGGGAGGGAAGGGGAGGGGGAGAGGCTGATATTGGAGATACAGAAAAAGATTGTGGCCTGGATGGGTGAGGCGGGGAGGGGAACCAAAAGCGTTTTGGAGGAAGGGAAGCTGCAGACTTAGCGGACATGGAGATCATTTGGGGAATTCCAGACTCACATCCCAACACACACACATGCGACCGCAGGGTTAACCGCTCGGCGTTAAGGCCGGAGTCACACTCTGTCTCCCTGGGTCATTATCACGGGCCTGAAAATAGAGCGCCCGTTCTGCTGTGACGCGGGAAGAGACCATGACATCGGCTAAACGAGCCAAGACCCCCTAAACTCTCCTCCAACGCCTTAAAACCAGCGCAGGCACACCTCCTGCTCCTGCTCTCATTTAGAAACGGACGTGCAAACTCAAAGGGAGGCATTTAGCTTGTTGAGCCGCCGGCGAGCGGTTACACATGTGGCCCAGAGGGAGTTAGCCGGAGCAGCTGGAGCTTTCCAAGCTCTGCCTCACTGCTCTGCTATGCACAAACAACAAACAGTCAGACTCTGAGGTCTGACCAAGTTCCTCTTTGCCACCTCAGTGGACTGCAATGTTGCTCCTTTCATTTGGCTTCCCTATGCTGTGTTAATGAGAGATGGCGCTGAGAAGAGCTGCCGGCTGATTGAGGTTGAGAACTGCTAATCACTGGAACAGCTAATCAGAGCTTGTCGTAAATATTGATTGGTTCTGTGCGTTATGGACGTGCTCATTAACCAACGTGTCACCATCTCTCCTCTTTCCTCCTCCCCCCCTGCAGCTACCTCCAACGGCACGGTCGAGGGTCTGGAGAACCGCGAGGGAGGCGTGTGCAAGAGCCGAGCCATGAAAGTCATCATGAAAGTCGGGCAAGGTAAATCACCCTACATGTATAACACAAAGCGAGCGCTGCTGCCTTGGAGCCATGTTTCACTTTGGTGTGACATTTCCATTTAACGCCGTGTGTGTCGCCGTGACTTTGTCCGCCAGCAGCGTCCAATGAGACGCCGTCTCTGGGACTGTGGAGCTTTCTGTGTGCCGGCGGGGTTAATGTTTCCTCATTTTTCTTCTAACTTTTCCTGTTTTAACCAACTTTTATGTTGTGTTTACATCTCAAAGAAATGAAATTATACAAGCATGAATTTTACAGGATAAAAAATGTTTTTAACACCTACAGCATCCTCTGAATCATTAGCAATGATGGGTAACGATGTGTTCAGACCAAATGGTTGCCGTGGAGACGGTGTGGCCCTAAGAAGTGATTAATTGCTTGCTTTGGAGATATTTTTTCCTGCCGTACCTTCCTCTTTACCGAGTGCGGTGTGGAGATAAGTATAGGCCCTCGTCCCGCCTTGTTTGTCTCAGTTGCCTTTAAGCCTTTTAATTATCGCTCTGACTGTAGATATAGACACGTTTAGACAAGCACTTATTTTCACGCAGCCATTTTTTTGACTTATGACACACATTTCACATTACTAAAATAGCATGTTTCTAGTTTGGATACTGAATTGGAAGAGCGGCTAAGAGAAATGAACTTCAGTGATATCCTGTTTGTTTCTTGGTTTTATAATAATTGTTGAACTTTTCAATTCTATTCAGTTTATTTCTATAGCTCCAATTCCCATCATCTCATCTCAGGTCACTTTCCAGTTCACCAGATCATCCAGTCAGATTGATTCAAAGTTTTCTATCTAAGGAAAACCAGCTGATTGCATTGACTCATTGACTCTTCAGCAATCCCTCACACTAAGCATGCTTGTAGCGACAGTGGAGAGGAAAAACTCCCTTTGAACAGGAAGAAACCTCCAGCAGAACCAGGCTCAGTGTGAGCGGCCATCTGCTGAGGCCCAGTGGGGTTCAAGGAGACAGAAGCAGACATAGAAAAAGAAGCATAGATACAAAAGGCAACTGTCAACCAGCTCCACAGGCGGCCCCGTCCAGGAAACACACAGCCAGGCAGACGAGCTCCGAGCCAGCTCCCATGTCAGAGGATGAAGAGAGCACATCCAGTTAGTCACAGTCAGAGAAACAGGACTACACTGGAAAACAGGCCAAGCTCCAACATCTAGAAACAAAGGTGTTGATGGCAGCAGCACAGCTGACATTTCTCTCCAGGATGGAGTCACAGCCAAACAGGAACAGACCAGATGAAGCTACTATGAGAAAAAGCAGAGAGAGCAGAACGTTAGAGATTGAACTAACAGATTCTGCAGAGTGGGAGAATAGAGATAGAATGAAGCAGAATGATGAAAAAGGGGTCCCTATGTCCTCCAGCAGTCTAAGCCTATAGCAGCAGAACTATAGAGATACACTATATTGCCAAAAGTATTTGCTCACCTGCCTTGACTCACATATGAGCTTAAGTGACATCCCGTTCCTAATCCATAGGGTTCAATATGACGTCGGTCCACCCTTTGCAGCTAGAACAGCTTCAACTCTTCTGGGAAGGCTGTCCACAAGGTTTAGGAGTGTGTTTATGGGAATTTTTGACCATTCTTCCAGAAGCGCATTTGTGAGGTCGCACACTGATGTTGGACGAGAAGGCCTGGCTCTCAGTCTCCGCTCTAATTCATCCCAAAGGTGTTCTATCGGGTTGAGGTCAGGACTCTGTGCAGGCCAGTCAAGTTCATCCACACCAGACTCTTTCATCCATGTCTTTATGGACCTTGCTTTGTGCACTGGTGCACAGTCATGTTGGAAGAGGAAGGGGCCAGCTCCAAACTGTTCCCACAAAGTTGGGAGCATGGAATTGTCCAAAATGTCTTGGTATGCTGAAGCATTCAGAGTTCCTTTCACTGGAACTAAGGGGCCAAGCCCAGCTCCTGAAAAACAACCTCACACCATAATCCCCCCTCCACCAAACTTTACACTTGGCACAATGCAGTCAGACAAGTACCGTTCTCTTGGCAACCGCCAAACCCAGACCCGTCCATCAGATTGCCAGATGGAGAAGCGCGATTCGTCACTCCAGAGAACGCGTCTCCACTGCTCTAGAGTCCAGTGGCGGCGTGCTTTACACCACCGCATCCGACGCTTTGCATTGCACTTGGTGATGTATGGCTTGGATGCAGCTGCTCGACCATGGAAACCCATTCCATGAAGCTCTCTGCGCACTGTTCTTGAGCTAATCTGAAGGCCACATGAAGTTTGGAGGTCTGTAGTGATTGACTCTGCAGAAAGTTGGCGACCTCTTCGCACTATGCGCGTCAGCATCCGCTGACCCCGCTCCGTCAGTTTACGTGGCCTACCACTTCGTGGCTGAGTTGCTGTCGTTCCCAAACACTTCCATTTTCTTATAATACAGCTGACAGTTGACTGTGGAATATTTAGGAGCGAGGAAATTTCACGACTGGATTTGTTGCACAGGTGGCATCCTATCACAGTTCCACGCTGGAATTCACTGAGCTCCTGAGAGCGACCCATTCTTTCACAAATGTTTGTAAAAACAGTCTGCATGCCTAGGTGCTTGAATTTATACACCTGTGGCCATGGAAGTGATTGGAACACCTGATTCCAATAATTTGGATGGGTGAGCAAATACTTTTGGCAATATAGTGTAGATCAGGATAACCTGAGCCACTCTAACTAGAAGCTTTATCAAAAAAGGGGCGTGAAGGAAGCCATACATTAAACTTAGATTTCGTCTTTTAAAAACCTACAATGCAGCTATTAGAGTTACTCACTTCCTGCTATCATCGCAGTTCCAACCCCTTTACAGGAGAACAGAAGACCTCGCCTATTCAGCCAGGCCAACTATTCCCTCTAACGACCCCCTTTCAGAGACATAGACAGGTATGGGGCATTGCAGGCTAACAAAGAAGCCAAACGACCCCATTCCAAAGGTTTGGACCCGTTCATCCGTTTCTATTTGCATGTTTTCTAAACTAAAACTTTGTGATTCTACTGTATAAAACCTGGAACTAAACGCTATTTCTGAAATTTAGAATTGAAAAATCTTCCTGGATGGAAGAGAAACGGCATCAAACATGGAAACAAAGTCCAGTGGATTGATGTTAACTTTTTTGGAATTTATCAAAAAATCGAAGTCTGCCTTAAAAGTTGGTTCCACAGGATTGGACCCCCGGACAGAATGTGTAGATGGACCGGGAGAAGACGCCAACTACAACCAGGAAAACTGAGGGCAGGATTCAAACCGGAGAGCTTTGTGCCGCGAGGCAGCGGGGCCAAACCTGGGTCCGCTGTGCAGCCAGAAAGATGAAATGAAAAGGAAACAGTTTAAACTGTAACTCCCAGATGGCAACTTCATGAAAACTGCTGGTTGTTAATTAAAAGCCAGACAGGATAATAATCTGTTCACCAGTGGAAGTGTGTTTCTATCAGGCATTTGCAGCCAATCAATAATCAGGACTTCTGCCTGAACAGCGTTATTCAATTTTGAAGGATCTGTAAGTTAGCGTGATTAAAGGAAGCAGTCATGTTCAAGTTTCAAGTTGCACTGATGGAAAACGGCCCGCCGCTGTGATATAACATTACATAGGCCTGTATTATGATAGATGGTTGTATCCTCGCTGCCCAGCCGGCCCTGTGGGGGATCCAGACATGTTGAAGGACTCTAATATACCAATGAATAGTTTCTGCAAATTGTGTAGAAAAGAAATCTGAAAGAAATAACAACAAATGACTGATGACTGTGGGGAATGACTCCACGTCCAAGCGGCCGGCGTGCTCTCTGATATTCCTCGGCTGTGATTCTTGCAGCAAACTAATGTTTGAAGTTTCCATGTACTCTAGATGACGGTTCGGGGTACGTCATCCAAAAACGCTGGAGGTAAACAAGCAAGCTTTGTTTAGATATCCTTGGACCAAGCATTTGGTTCGCATCACGCGTTTCCCTTTTCCATGTCGATCCGCTTCACGATCCGGACTTCTATATCCTGGCTTTGACAGGGTACAGTACACAGATGTGTTGCTTTGTAAACAGTTCCTCCATCCTCAGAGCGCAAACAGACACTGAGAGGAACATCTGCCCGCCACGGCGATCCCATCCTAACTGAACCCTGGATCCCGCTGTAACTGGGAGGCGCTGTAATAAAATCAAGCGTGCGCGTGGAATCCGGGAGCAGGTATTTAGGATTACGGCGTTGTGTCCTGTGCAGAGCGTGCAGAGGAGGAGTAGAAACTAACAAGCTGCTGATGCTAGCAACATTCAGCAGATGTAGTGAAAAATGCCCAGAGACAGACAGCCTCTCCATGTAGGTCAGTTTGAGCAGCCAGGGACTGAGGGGGGGGGGGTCAACAGCGCCACGTGAGGTCTAGGAGACAATGACTTTTTCGCAGAGCTATTAAGGACAAACGGTTCCGTATTCTCCGGTTAATGCAAGTGGAAAGGGAAGCGCCTTATTTCCAAGGAAACTTCCAGGAAAATTCCTCTCAGCTTCTGTGGCTCCAGGCTGTTCCTCAACTCCAGCAGAGCCGTGCGCTCGTTTCCCGAAACGGCCCCCGCCGCAGCCGTCACTCCCAGTCAACGTGTCCTAAAAACCCTGTTCTGAAAGATGCTGAGCGCCCAGCTGCCGCTACTTTCAGAGTCGGTTTCTGGGTCTGGGATTCTGGATGCATTATGCTCTCGCCGCTGTTTTAAGGACGCCGTTGATTCGGCTGCATTTAAGGGATTGTTTTTTTCCATTAAGCTTCCATTATTGCCATCTCCAACACATCGTTGGTATTTTTCTCTATTCTTCGTATTCAGCTGGTGGCTGTGAGTGCAGAAAGTGCTGAAAATGTCAGATATAATTCGCAGAATGAATCCTTTCTTTAACACAGAACGGTGGCATATAGAGAAGTACTTTGACATTATGCATTTAGGACTTTATGTGGCTGCTCTCCTTTTGAGAAATTATTTTTCAGGATTTTCTTTTAAAGCTCTATTAATGCACATAAAACATTAACAAATTACACACATATATATAAATAAAATGTATATTTCAGGAGCCATTGCGGGGCTGTGATATCTGAGCAGTTTCTCTCCTTTATTAGCTATTTGAGGAAACTTAAAGAACTTGTGCCTCAGGGCAAAATGTCTGCATATTTTTTTTCTTCTCTTCTCTGAAATTAAACATAAAAATCCTCAGCAGACTAATCAATAATGAAAACAGACATTATTCACATCCCCCGCGAGGCTCTTCCTCTGCAGCCGCACACTGTTTTGTTTTAGCAAACACAATAAAAAGTGAAGCCCCGCTCGCTTGTGACCCCAGATGTTATTGTGTGTTCGATTCAAGCATCCTCCGTCTCTGCAGCTGAGTGCCTTCTGCTCGCCAAGAACACCCCCCCCCCCATATGTCCGCTTCCAATCTTTCTGCACATTCTGCTGTGTACTTTGGTGATTGATTCCAGTAGGAAACGTGCCCAGCTTTCTTTACAGCAACATTTATTTTCAGCGCCATGCAAAACAACCCAGTTTATCATTCTTTTCACCTTTTGTCACCAAACAAGGTTTATTGTTATTCTGTGGGACATTATTTGACAGGTAAAAACACTAAGTAGTTGAGGCGGGACTTCTTCTGGCTGATAGGTGCTTAATAGTTGTCCTGGCAACAGATTGTCCAACAGGATCTCAGCAGGTCCTCCAGAGTTAGCAGTTAGCTGCTTCTCTAATGAATATTTATTAATAGCCACGTCTCTGACCTGCTCCTGAGTCTTCATCATCCTGTGTACGCCTTCCTGAAAGCAGTTAGCATTTTATTTTGTATCATAGGAAGAATAAAAATGCACATTTCATAGTTTTTTTTTCTTATTTTTAAAAGCAAATAAGAAAAAAAAAAGATCAATTTTGTTCATCTTCAAGATGAAGCCCTCCTTAACGGGGGCGTATTACATAAAATCTTGATGAAATAGTGATGTTTACTCCTTTTATGTCGCTAATTATTCCTTAAACGGCTGTTTATTGTTATTTTTGCAGTTTTATTTTCTGCCAAACAATAAAAAGGGAAGAAAAGTGTCTGAATGGGATCTAAACACGCCGCCGTTCCCATGTCACCGTCCTCATTACTAACATGTTGACTCACTGCCGTGCACGCATTTCTCCCCCCTCCGTCTACCTCTCCTGACGTTCCCGTCTCTCCGTTCTGCCGCTCGATCATCGCCGCCGCCCCCCCACCCCGCAGCCCCTCCCTCCTTCTGGTGGTTTGGCACTTCTGAGTTAGTAGCTCGTCTGCCTAGCTAAGGAAAATGTCAAACAGCACGCACAGACAGGAGAAAGAAAATGGGTCAGAACATTAGGTCGCTGCATGCACATGCTCACTACCCGAGGGTGGATGGGGGGGGGGCTCAGAGTGAGTCAGATCTGTGTCCTCATGCATCCCTTGTCATGCCTGAATGTTCCCACTTCTCACTCCTGTCTTCTCTTATCAATTATTGAGAAGGCACAACAGCTAGCGGCTAGGCTGCTGCAATCAGCGCCGAGCCGGGCTGTGGTCTGGACATGGAGAGGATAGAGCAGGGGGGGCCCCCCCACTACCCACACAAAAAAAAATAAGAGAAGAAGAAGAAAGAGACACTGTAGTCCAATCCTCTTCTCATCCACACCCAAATCATTTCTCATTTCATCTCAGGATTTAGCCATAATTGCTTGGAAATAGAAAATTTCCAAGCAATTCCCGCCCCCCCCCCCCCCCCCCCCCCCCCCCCCCCCCCCCCCCCTCCTATCATCCCGTCTTTGGCCACACACGCTTCCCACTGGGGACTCAAACACAAATTGCCTCCCAAAGAGCCCCCATTTCCGTTTTCCTCTCTCACCCCCTCAGAGCAGGCCTGGGGCGCAGATAAGGTCTGCAGGAATATCTGATGGACTAATACTGTCTCTCTGCCTGCCTGCCTGTCTACCTGTCTCTCTGTCTGTCTGTCTCTCTGCCTGCCTGCCTGTGTACCTGTCTCTCTGTCTGTCTGTCTCTCTGCCTGCCTGCCTGTGTACCTGTCTCTCTGTCTCTCTGCCTGCCTGCCTGTCTACCTGTCTCTCTGTCTGTCTGTCTCTCTGCCTGCCTGCCTGTGTACCTGTCTCTCTGCCTGCCTGCCTGTCTACCTGTCTCTCTGTCTGTCTGTCTCTCTGCCTGCCTGTCTGTCTGCCTGCCTACCTGTCCCTCTGTCTGCCTGCCTGCCTGTCTACCTGTCTCTCTGTCTGTCTGTCTCTCTGCCTGCCTGTCTGTCTGCCTGCCTGCCTGTCTACCTGTCTCTCTGTCTGTCTGTCTCTCTGCCTGCCTGTCTGTCTGCCTGCCTGTCTGTCTGCCTGCCTGCCTGTCTACCTGTCTCTCTGTCTGTCTGTCTCTCTGCCTGCCTGTCTGTCTGCCTGCCTACCTGTCCCTCTGTCTGCCTGCCTGCCTGTCTACCTGTCTCTCTGTCTGTCTGTCTCTCTGCCTGCCTGTCTGTCTGCCTGCCTGCCTGTCTACCTGTCTCTCTGTCTGTCTGTCTCTCTGCCTGCCTGTCTGTCTGCCTGCCTGTCTGTCTGCCTGCCTGCCTGTCTACCTGTCTCTCTGTCTGTCTGTCTCTCTGCCTGCCTGTCTGTCTGCCTGCCTACCTGTCCCTCTGTCTGCCTGCCTGCCTGTCTACCTGTCTCTCTGCCTGCCTGCCTGTCTACCTGTCTCTCTGTCTGTCTGTCTCTCTGCCTGCCTGTCTGTCTGCCTGCCTACCTGTCCCTCTGTCTGCCTGCCTGCCTGTCTACCTGTCTCTCTGTCTGTCTGTCTCTCTGCCTGCCTGTCTGTCTGCCTGCCTACCTGTCCCTCTGTCTGCCTGCCTGCCTGTCTACCTGTCTCTCTGTCTTTCTGTCTCTCTGCCTGCCTGTCTGTCTGCCTGCCTGCCTGTCTACCTGTCTCTCTGTCTGTCTGTCTCTCTGCCTGCCTGTCTGTCTGCCTGCCTGTCTGTCTGCCTGCCTGCCTGTCTACCTGTCTCTCTGTCTGTCTGTCTCTCTGCCTGCCTGTCTGTCTGCCTGCCTACCTGTCCCTCTCTCTGCCTGCCTGTCTGTCTGCCTGCCTACCTGTCCCTCTGTCTGCCTGCCTGCCTGTCTACCTGTCTCTCTGCCTGTTTGTCTGTCTGTCTGTCTGCCTTCAGAGTGTTGTCTCTGAAATCTCAACAGACAGTCAGATAAACAGTCTCCTTTCCTCTGCGCTCCCCTCATAGAACAGCTGTAGGTACCAGATCTGATCGGAGCCCCGCCTCTTCTTGTGATGTCATCAAATGGCAATGCCAATCAGACAAACTGTATTCAGTTCTCTTCTGGAGTCTCAATATATTAATACTCATGTTTGCTATTATTTTACGTTTCATCTGCGATCTAAAGTAGCAGAAAACAATCATTGTCAGTCTTGAAGGAAAGTAATGTTTTCTAAGACAGACTGAGCTGAGTTGATATTCTGCAAAGTGGGAGAATAGAGATAGAATGAAGCAGAATGATGAAAAAGGGGTCCCTATGTCCTCCAGCAGTCTAAGCCTATAGCAGCAGAACTATAGAGATAGATCAGGATAACCTGAGCCACTCTAACTAGAAGCTTTATCAAAAAGGAAAGTTTTAAGCCTAGCCTTAAAAGTAGACAGGGTAGAAGTTAAAAGTAGTGTAGCCTAATGTGGCTAACTGAGCAAGCTAAAAGAGGCTAACCTGTTAGCTAGAGCTAGCTACAGCGCTACCCAGCTCTTTATATCACGCTCTAACAGTTACGTTGTTCACCAGAAACAGATTTTTTCAGTTTTGTTATCAATCAGGTGAAACTTCATTGGTCATCAGACGCGCTAACGCTACAGATGCTCACGACTCGACAACCGAACGCTGCGTGATGTTATTATTGTTGTCTAGGCAACCACGATGTTTTACGTCACTGGCAGGAAGCAGGACCTGAGCAGATCTGGTCCCTTCAGCGCCCCCCCGGCCTTTGAAGGATGCTTCTTTTCACAGAGCTGAAGCCTGGCCGATAAATAAGGCATATTATGGCCTTTTAACGTGATGAATAATGTAAAACAATAAAAAGTTAATATATAACTGCCTTACCCCCATTCTGCCAAGCCTGAGTGTATTGTAAGTATATTGGAGGAGTGTGTGGGGGGGTGTGGGAGTGTGCAGAGCTCTCAGGAGTGTGTCGGTGTCTGAGTGTTTGCTGAAGGAGCTGCTGATGTAGATGTGAGCTCACTGTTTTACGACAGGACAGGGATATCGCCGTGTTTCACAGGCGTTGGCAAATCCCCCCCCCCTGCTTTCATCTTCCCTTCTGACACAGTTTCGAAGCAGGCGAGGATAACCGTCTCTGTGTATAAAAGATATATCAAAAGATAATAAGCATAATCCTTTGCTGTAGCGGAGGAACAAGTCATTGTAATTCATGGCATGCGGCTTTCCAAGGCTGACTTTTTGTGTGTTTTTCTTTTCTTCTCCTCCGTTTCCCACAGTCCCGAATGCAGCGAACCCGGAGGGGCCGGAAACCCCAGAGGAGAACGCCATACCGGAGTCCAGCAGTTCCGGTCCACCCGACCCGAGTAAGACTGGGCCTGTGATGCCAGGAATCCCTGGTGAGTGCTTTCAGACACTTCGGCCGTGAACTCTGGATGAAATAAACGCTCATTTTTCTCTCTGAAATCAGCATAGCTCAGTCAGATCGGATGCTGGCATCCAACAACTTTCAAGTCTACCACAGATTCCTAGATCTGGACTTTGACTAGGCCTTTCTGACGCCCGAGAATGAAAATGAATCGTTTTCTACTCGTCTTTTTCAGCCTCTGAGAGGTTTTCCTCCCATCAGTTAGGGCCTGTTTTCCACACAGCATGATTCTGCCTCTTCTGTGTTCCCTAATATGATCAAAGTAAAATATTATTCTGATGAAAAGAATCAATAGAATTCAAATATAATCAGAAATAAAGACATTAGGATGGATTCATTCCATATGATGGTTATTTTAGACTAAATCTGTTTTAATAAAGTTGTTTCACATAAAAAGATTTTGGGGTAATTAGTGTTAGAATTTGGCTTAAATCAGTTCCATCCTGTAATTAATATTTCAAGCAGGTGAAGCATTATTTTTTCCTGCTTGTGCTAATAATCCTTTTAACATCCGCAGACAGAAATTAATAATATAGTTTATCCTCTTAAAGTGTATTTTCTCTCATTTGACTCGTTTTAAACTCTTTCCTGTTCCAGCGCTCCTCACAGAATGGAGGAAAAGTCTCTAAAATGAAGGTTGCGATGAAACGACCTAAAACCACACCCTAAACAAACACAGCTCGCCCTGAGTCACAGAGGGAGGGTGCTGCATTGTGGGAGACTTAAAGACGCAGCTCATTATTGCATATCTGCCTTAAACCTCATTAGAGTTGCAGATCAATGGAGATCAAACGCAGGGATAATTGAAGGAGTCACTCCGGCCTCGCTGGATGCTGTCAGGCTGTCTTCATTTCTTGTTTTTCACCTCCAGCTTCTTCATGGCTGCCTCCCATCAGAAAAGCTTCTTCTTCTGCTGCTTTGCAGGAACTTTTCAGCTTTGAGCGCCACAAACTTCCCCCAAAGTTCACCCTGTTCCTCCTGTCCCGATGTGATAAGCAGCGATCCCTTAATAGTTGCTTATTTGACATTAGCTGCTCTAAAAAAAGATGTCCCTATGTCACTTTTCCTGTATTCCCGGGGTTTTCACCTGCCTGCCTGCCGCGGTTGGATCCGTCATTATGTCAAGCGAGGGTGGAATGAAGGACGAGTGGTGGTGGGTTGAGGGGCTGATATTTCAGGAATGAAATTTCTGACAGCCTCTCTCCGCGACTCGCTCTCCGCTGCCCAGAATGTACGAAATTCCTTCAGTCTCTGATTTCAGCGATAAGAGCAGAAGTGGTAGCCTTCAATCAGGCCATTTGGTGGTGATAAGGTGCAGTTATCCTCTTATCAATAAATGCTTAAGAGCAAAGGAGGCAGCAGCATGCAGACACAGCCATTAACGGGGCTGGCAGCTCCTGAGCTATGAGACTTTTCTGTGCCTGTGGAGGTAAGGGGGGGTGTTAGAGGTGAGGAGGGGTCACGGACAGTAAAAGAGTGATAGCTGGGGGGGGGGGGGTGTTCTTTGGCAGCAGCTGCATGCATACATGGAAAACAGATTTGGTTGTTCTCAGATTTCAGTGACCGGCGGAGCCAGCCTTTCTCCTCCCCATCCCATCCTGAACCCCCCCCCCCCCAACAAAAGGATCAAATCAGATGTACAGATGTGCCCCCCCCCCTCCACATTTGGTTTTTCCATCGCTAACTCGGCCTCTGACACACAGATGATGTCCAACAACTTGCCCTCGCTTGAAAAGCAAAATACAAAAGAACAAGAAAGAGAAACCAGAGCGGGAATCTGAGCCCTGCTGAGTGGCGTCCTCAGATCTCATCGGAGCGCCATCAATTAGATGACATGCAGGACGCCGTTAGTCACGACGCGCAGACCAGAAAGTAGGATGAACTCCGAGCTGATCTACTGGGAAGCGGGGGGCTGTCTCCTCTCACCGACAATCAATTTTCTCTTAACTCGTTCAATTGGAGCGGCTAAACAACCTCTTTATTTTCTAATTAAACAAATTCTAGAAAATAAAGAAATAAAAATGAAGAATCCAGGACACACATCCCTCCTGTTCCTCATAAAACTAACCTCATCCCCTCAAACCGTCGCACCTTTTCTGAGATTAGAACTAGGGATTATTTTACAAACTGATTAATTTTCAGTTAATCGATTGATAATCGGATAGGATAACGTTCATCAAAGAAGATTTATTAAAGAATTTAACCAAGTGAAACAAAAACTTTTCCACTTGAGGAGTTCTCAATAGAGCAGATTGACAGATAAATTTACCTTAAATGCAAAATGTTTACATATTTTTTACAGTCTTGGTATAATTCCTGCTCTAACCTGGTCGCTCTGTCAGCTAGCAGTCTTTATACTCCAGTTAACGATTAATCAATTAGTTAGTAAGTAATGTTTATTTTTATAGCAGCTTTCACAGACATGGAGGTTGCAAAGTTCTTTACAAAATTAAAATACAAATAAAATATATTTGCTGTCATAAAAACATGACCATAAGACAACCGTTAATCTACTAGAATTAAAATGCTTTCTTAAACAAACTGGTTTTCAGTTCTCTGGCAGCTCCAGCTGTGATAAAAGAAGACAAACTTTTAATTTTAGATAAAAAGAGACGAGCCCTGAGCAGAACACATCTGCAGGTTTATTTCTTCCACTTTCTGAATGTTTATTTCTTTGTCTTTGACTATAACCAAGAATCTCTCTGAATAACATTGATTTTTGAGTTTTTGGTTATAATGTAATGAAATGTAGAGTTATTGAAGCTTATCTGAGGCAAAGTAGATATTAAGTCACTGATTATTTTGAATTCCCAATAGTTTTTATCAATTAGCAGAAAGATGTTTTCTCATTCATCAGAAGTCTTTCCTCTCTTCAGCTTTAGAAAGATAAATCATGGCTGCCCTTTTCGTGACCTCCCCGTCCTTACGCCCTCCCTCTGTCTCTGATCTCTCCCCAGGCCCTAAGATTCAGGACGACCCGGGTTCCTCTTCCAGTTCCGAGGGCTTCTTCAGCTCCAAGGTCGCCGTGTTCTCCGCCATAGCGATAGGCTGCATCGTCTTCCTCGTGCTCATCCTGCTCGTCGTCATCCTCCTCATCAAGGTGCGCAAGCGCTCCAGGAAAAATGCCCACTCGCAGGCCCGCCCCTCGGCTTTGTCACTCAGCACGCTGTCTAACCCCAAGCTGCCCGGCGGCACGGCCGGCACGGAGCCCAGTGACATCATCATCCCCCTGCGGACAGAGAACAACTACTGCCCCCACTACGAGAAGGTGAGCGGGGACTACGGTCACCCGGTCTACATCGTCCAGGAGATGCCTCCGCAGAGCCCGGCCAACATCTACTACAAGGTCTGACGTGCTTCGCGGAGCAGCAGCAACGGCCAGCAGAGAGAAAAAAAGAGGAGCGCTTGATTTACGTTCTTGGGAAGAACTTTTTCCTTCGCATTCGGGGACTTGAAGCCCCCGGTTATTTGTACCACCTGCTGCACAAATCTGGAGAAACATGTACTGACCCGTCACCAGCGGGGTTAGGGAGCTGACTGATGAGACCCCCCCCACACACACAGCCTTCCTTTCACCCCCGACCGCTGACCCTCTCAAAAGGCTCCCCTCCCACCCTGTACGTCCCCCCCCCACTGCCAGAGAGGCGGGAGCGGAGCGTCCGACCAACAGATGGAACTCTCTCTGTTAACGGACGGAATAGAACTTATCTCATCTCCCTGAAGTACAGTCTGCGCTACACCCAATTAAACACCATCCCAGCACACACCAGCCGGAAACAGGCGGGGGGCACGGGGGGGGCGGGGGGGTTTGGTGCAGAGAGCCATTTGGTCTGCAGCTTGTGTCCAAACAAGAACGGAAAATAAAGACAGAAGTGGGTGTATGTGTGTGCAGATCTGTGCATGTGACGGCGGTGGGGGGGGGGCCGCCGTTTCTGGGCCATGGAAAACTCTCCAGATAGCTCAGGTATCTTACACAGTGTGTGGAATAATGTGCTCCTCTCCCTGACGCACCTCTGATGTTTGCCTTACTTACTATTTTTGATGGAGGATTTCCTTGAACCCTGATTAAGTTCACAAAGCAGTTGTATTTTGTTAGACTTTTCCTACGAGTGCACAATGTATAGAAACTAAACCCGTCATCGTCTCGCCGTCATCTCCTCTCCGCATGCATCATCTTATCGTTTTTACTTTCTAAGGAGGGACTTTAACCTGGACTCCAGCTCTGGAGGCGTGTCGGTGGATCCCTCCAGCGCTGCTCTGATGTCACTGTGTATTTCAGGGTGTGCCCTCAGTCAGGGCGCTGGGACATGTCCGGACCAGTTCTTCTATGAGGGGAGACTTTATTGGATTTGATGTCTAGATACTGTAGCCTCAGCTTAAAAAAAAAAAACAGACACAGAGCGCTCCAGTTGGCACCGATCGGACATCTTAGCGGCTTCCAGACAGGCAGGCAGGTTGGTGTTTGTTTGCTGTTTCTTTTGGTTGAAGCAACAAAAAAAAATGTTAGTTTGGGGCGTCGGTCGGATGGTTCTCCCTGATTGGCTGGCCTACTTAGGTATGATGTCCTACATATAGGTTTGGACGGCCGCCGTCTGTAGATGAGGCGGTGGAGGCGGTCAGCTTCGTGTGACTAATCTGTGCCATCTTAGAGCCCACGGTCAGCAGCCAGAAAACGTTCCTGTGACTTAAACCTGGAAGGATAAGGGAGGTGGGAGCGTGTTTGGGGGGGGGTTGTTTAGGTGGTTTCTGCAGCTCTCCATCCTGTCTCACCAGCTGTGCAGTGAATAAAAACGCTGCGTAGAAATATTCAGCGAGGAAGCTGCAGGCCAGCTATCAGACAGCCCGGGGCGACGGCATCAAGGCGGGATTTCACCGCAGCTGCATGTGTGAGGATGGGGGTGGGGGAAGGGGGTGTTTTTATGTGTTCACATAGGTGCTTGCTTGTGCTTATATTTGCAGTTTCCACTCAGTTGATGCTTGCAGGTGTGTCTGGCGCTGCTATGACAGACTGGAAACCTTCTCTAACTGAGCAACCGAGTGCTAAATCCTGAGCTAATGATACGGCAAGCCATTGGTGCCAAATATAGGTGACTTCACAATCCATTTAGAAAAGAAATAAGGTTTAAAAAATCACTATAATAAAAACCCAGGAAAAAAACAATATATGATAAACCAGCAAGTCATATTTTAAACCTCATTTGCAGCTATTCAATGCCTGTTTATAAGAGAGGGAGAAAAAAGAAACATTTCAGCTGCTCATAAACAGGTATTTATTGCATGGCTCTATCACAAAGCGCAGGTCGCTGTAAAACAGGCCAGAAACCCCTAAAGGAGGCCAAATTTTACACCAGCAACTTCTAGGTTCAGATAATAACCGTAGTGAATCCCACATTCTGGGAACTTCTGACATTTAGGGAATTTCTTTACAGGGTTGGAAGAGTACACCAATATCAGGTGCGAATGTCTTGCCGTAATGGGAGGAGATCTGGAAGCCATAGCGTTGTCTTTGCACACAGGGCAACAGAGACACACGGAGACGAGCAGGTCCAGGTTCATCTCCAGTCAGGCTGAAGCGTAACGTCATCAGCTGCCACTTCCAGGACGGACATCTCCCTCAGACGGGCGCTGCTGAGTTAAAAGGCGACCCCGGCTTGACGACTCGGGGAGGACTCGGGCGGCTCTAGTGTGTCGTTAACCTCTGAGTTAACAACCTCAGCAGCTGCCGGGATTTTTTTGGGGTTTTTTTTGCGGCCCTGCGTTTTAACTCAGCATGCACCCCTCTGCAAAACTCATCTAGAGCATATATTTTTGTTTCGGATCAACGCGCCTCCATTCATCTACACCAGCTTAGGGAGTCATTACCAAATTACCGCAAAGCATAATTCATTTTCATTCATTCTAGCGACCGTTTAGGGTTATTCCAATTCTGGAGAAATTATAAAAAAAATAAAGAAAAAAAGTCGGCCATGACATGTAAATATATGGATAGAGCCCAATTTAAGATGTAATTTCCACCTGAACACTGATCATAAGAAGAATTTAAGATTAGATTTTTGTAATGGAGGATGTTTGTAAATAGCCGTCTTTTTAAAGTGTGTTTTGTATGGATCCTCGCCATTTTCTTTTGTCTTCATTTTCTCTTCCTTTAGATTTTAACAGAATATTGCAACAGAGCTGTCTTTTACGCAGCCTCCAGTATTGTCGAAAAAAAGTCTTTGTTACCACACATGTTTTAAAAATATTAATATTAATAATAATAAAACAAATCTAGGATTCAGAGTTTTTTTTTTTTTTTTATGTTGCCATTCAACAGGGATTTATTTGGTCAGACTGAACCTTTGTCGCCGAGTGGCTTTGAAACGGATGGGTTACTGAAACCATGATGATGTTGGAGGCGCCACCTCACCCTGCTTATGAACACTATGTTATTCTGCTAAATTTCAGTTAGCTTCACCTTTGGCAACATCATAGAAAAAGATGTCGGGTCTGAGTTGAGTTTTAATAAGTCCAGAGGGCCGGAAGGGGAAGGAAGGTGTTCGCTCACCGATAAATCATCTGGCTTCCTCCACTCATTATCCGCCGGGCGGTCTTTCCTTCTAAAGATGCTCGCTCACCTCCTTCTCTCCTTTGTCCTCCCATCCTTCCTAATTTAGCACAAGGATGCTGTGGGATGGTTTCTGCTATATTTTTCAGAGCCACAGTATTATTATTTTTTTTCAATGTGCATGTAAAAGCAAAACCTGTTGAATTTATTTTCCTTTTTGTTCGAAATCACAAATGTTATTTTTATGTTTCTCGTTCTTGTCATTCACTTATTTACCGCTTCTCAGCGTAACCTGTTGGCACCAGCTACAATGGAAACAATGTTCCACCAGTTTGGAAACTACAGCTTATTGATGAATAAAATTTTTCCCATGGAACTCGCTCTGATGTGATGGTCTTTCTTAAAGGGATCCATGATTAGTTTTAACTCTAAATTTATTTGAGAAATGATTATTTAAGATGTAAATTAAATAATCATAAATAATCAATAATCAAGGAGCCTGATAACTAAAAGATAAAAGTTAGAGGTTAAAAGTAGGGTAGCGTAATGTGGCTAACTGACCGAGCTAAAAGAGGCTAACCTGTTAGCTACAGCTAGATACAGCGCTACCCAGCTCTTTATTGAGAGCGAAGTGCTCTGTTAGGAACATAAGGAACAATCAGAACTCTGATTGTTTACATGTTAGCTTCTGCTAATGGTGTTAGCACTAGCTTATATAGCAAACATTACATCAAAAGCTGATATATTTGTTTGATTTCACTGATATCTCATCTATAACACAGTGCAGCCTTTTCTATATTTACATCAGTCAAACACAATACAGTAAAAAACAACTTTGCGAATGTTAGCCTTCCTGTGGTTATGCTGTAGTTTCCAGTCCAGTAGGACCAAACCACATCATCTACCCAGCATGCATTGCAGGAAAAAAGATGGATTCCTCCTGTACATTTTGAAGCAACTAGGAGCTTTTTACGTATCACAAAAAACAGTTTTAAGTTAATAGATAAAAATGAGAACACATTAAGACCAAAATATTTAACTAGTTGAGGATCCCTCTTATTAAATGTAATTATAGCTAGTTTCCAAACAGCATGACACTGCCACCACCGTGTTTCATCATAGGGTGAGTTTAGTAATTTCCACAATACATGGAAACATACAGTATATGTAGGACAAGTTTTAAATTTCATTCTCATCTTAGCAAATTACCCTGCAAGTGCTTAATGACTTCTTTTAATGGCTTATGAACAAACCATAAAGGATTTAGTTTGACCTTTGGAGTGCACCAAGAACAGTTTTTCCCCTTCCACAGATTCCTCCACCTGATCATGTTGGGGCACTGCAGCTCCTCCAGAGGACTCTTTATCTCTCAGATATCATCTCTCCCAGTCTGCTCACTCACCATTGGCAATCATTCCTGGATCAGTTGCACCTTCATAACACCAAGATGACATTTTCCAGCACTCTGCTGGAAATTAGATAATTAAATTAGCCTCCATCTTATGTGAATCATGTGTCACTGTCATTTGGTAATGTCCCAGGAACAGGAGAGTGTCAAAACAAGGAAAACATGGACAGCTGCAGAATAAATGCAGTCAAGTGCTTAATGGCTGACCGCATGAGACAAACTAATGAGAAAATATTATTTTATGTGCAAATCAAGATGCAAACAAACAACATACAGAAGGAAACCATTGAAGCGCATTCAGAAATGTCACCTTTATTTAGACACAGAAGTTAAATAAACGTTCAAAGAACTAAAATCAGATGAAAACATTGAATTAAGACTCAAATCAAATAAAGAATGACACTTGATCCACAAAAAGATGACTGGTTTTCAAAAAAGGGATATTTCATGAAGAACCTGGTGAGAGAGAGAGTTAGATGTCATCTGCACCTGTCTTTGCATCACAAGCATGTTTGAAACCATGTCTGCATAACTTTTGCCTCTGGAAACCCTTGGTTTAGGACAGAGGTCACAGGTCCGGATCCGGACCCACCTCATTTAAAACATTTATAAATTACTGCATGTTGTCTGATAACAGTGTCTAATTTACTTGCGCCTCTTCTCCTGTTAATACGGTAAAGCCCTGGGGAGCGTCCGGCTCCAGGCTGCACGTGATCCAAATGAGCCAATGAGCTGTCAGTCTGGGTTGCTGCTGCTGCTACTTTTAGACACAGCAGGCAAACCTGTGGCAAGCCGGGCGATGGGAAAGAAGGAGAAGACCATGAGAAAAAGAGAGCAGAGAAAGTGTGGACTGCTGGAAGAACTGCAGTGAACTGGTGAAAGAAAAGTGAAATGGCGTGCTCAAAGATGACCCTGCACATTTAGAGGATGTTTGGCTCAACCTGCTGCTGTGAAGCAGGATTCTCCACCATGAACAGAATCAACAATAAATCTGGATCCAGGCTCAAAATGAGCTCCTTGATATGTGCTTGAGAATGGCTTAGTCTCCGGTTAAACCCAGGTTTAAAGCCTTGCAGGGCAGCCTAAAGCCCACTGCCAACATTAAGACAGAAAAAAGAAAGAAAATAACAAACCATCAGTTCAGGTGTTTGAGAAAATATGGGAATCAGGAAATTGTCTATAAACCAAACTGAACAATTGTTGTTCTCTACTTAAAAAATACTTTAGATTTTAAAATGGAAAAATTTTCTATTTTTTTTCTATATTCTTTTTTTATTTAAACATTCTATGTATATCATGGATTCATAAAAAAATTATTACTTTTATTTCAGTGTTAAATTCTGTTAACAGATAATAATAAAAAATGTCTCCAGACCTTTACTGGTTGATGATTTTCTTGATTTTTAATTGGTTACCCTTAGTATAGCATGTCTGCATGTTTAACCTGTGGATGCAGTTCTGTTGGGCGAATGTAGACAAAGTAAAGAATGCCACGTTTAACAGGACACAGCGCTTCACCTAATGAACATTTAAGCATTTGCATCCTTTATGGAAGGAAGAGGAGGAGGACGGCTCGTCTGCTCCCACCAACATGTTTCTCAGATAATTGTTCGTTAGCGGGGCAGGTGGATAATCCAGGTCCAGAAAGTAGCCAGAAACCATCAGAGACTCTTTGTCATTCTTTTCATTCAAAAAGAATGCAAAAAAATGGCTTGTAGAGAGCCAAATTTGTGGGAACTAAGGTTTTTTGTGTGTATTTAAATAATTTATAATTATTTTACATGAATTGTATTTCTTAACCATAATGTTTTTTATGTAATTGGTATTGTAATTTTGTCTTGTGATTTTATACTTGTGTTTATGTTTAAGGTTGCCTTTTTTATACCTGGCTGGGGGACTACCGATGAAAATTAGCACTCCTTAGCAGAGATGGGAAGTAATGAAGTACAAATAGATTTTTCTGATATTTTTACTTTACTTTACTACTTATTTTTATGGCGACTTTTTACTTCTACTCCTTACATTTTTACACAAATATCTGTACTTTCTACTCCTTACATTTTAAAAAATTGGCTCGTTACTTTAGTTTTGAATCATTTCAATGGAGTTACCGTTATTATTTTTCACGTCATCAATACCAAATTCAATCTAATTGGATGGGAATCTACGTTGCATTTGACGCAGCACTACAAG